GTATTCCACTATTTGCATTCACACCTGGGGTGTGTATATATATTGCCTTGGTTTGGCTCTGTAATTATTAGTGGTCGTGGGACTAGTTTGGGCCCTACCTAAGCTGGTCGAACGTTTCGTTTGTATAGCGCAAATAAACGGGGTCTCTTTGCGCTTGACAATATTGAAGTCAAGAAAAACAAAGAAAAAAGCCGAAAAAACCCCCAAAAAAACAATAAACACCAAGCTAGCTCCCAAACAGAAGTATGGGGTTAAACCATCACCGCCAACCGGAGATCTGTGTTTATGTACTCCTTACAACAAATAAATGTATTTTTATATCAAGAAATAAGGATTTGATTCACCTATTTGTTGTGCAAGCGGCAACGCAGTTCTTGTTTTTAATTCCATGATTTTCAACGAACTTTGTTATTGAGTGATTTTGTTTCACTGATTCTTTTGTAGGATTTGGAAACGAAAGTTCTGCGAAATCTGTTACTGGTACGAACAGTGGGCCTACAACATGATGACAATTTAGTCATCACTTTACTAACTAGAAAGAGCTCAGAAACCACTGCCAGTAAATTCAAGTGAAGTGCAGATGACAGAGTCTATTCTTTCAAAGATTTTAAAGATCCTGTATAATGTTCGTAAGGCCCGGACTATTTAATACCTTGAGCCGAACACTCCGACCGCCAATTCGAATAAAAATGAAATTTGGTTTGGCCAGTTAGCGCACCCTCCGCCTCAATTTTTATTTACGAGTTACGCCATCCGCTTCCTGAAATCTAAAAATATAAGCAATATTTCTTCCTTTAAATATAAAGTATTTATAAATCTCATTACAACACTGTTTACATTAATTAATTAAATTTTATTTTTATTTTTTCCTCCGCCTAGACGTTTTCGGCAAAATAATTGTGCTAAACAAGAAAACAACATTTTATTTCTATTTTCCGCCCTCCTCTGACGATCTTTAAACAAATAAGTTCGCTAAACTAGGTATTTAAAAAGTCTCGACTAAACATCAGCTGTGAACCCCGCTATGAACCGTTCAGTAAGTACTGAATACAAAATAAATATGCCCAGGTTGGAAATCAGCTTTTTTTTTGTTAGAGAGCAATTATGTCTGTTTTTATACAAGAACATGACTTGCTACTAAATTAATACGTTTTGTTGGCCGAACCAACCCTCCTTCGAGTGAACTCATTTGATAAACCGAATCACCTCCTCTTTGTATCAACTTAAAAATTATAAAATTTACCATTCTATGCTAGACGACTTCAGCTCCAGAGAGCTTTTCCCCTGACTGTACCAGAGCTCGTCCTGGACCCACATGCAGTGGCTCCTTGGTATCCATACTTACAGAGGAACAGAGTTGTTTTTACTCCTGAAAAAAATCCTGGTGTGACAGGTTCTAACCCAAACTGCTGGGCTGAGCATAAGCACAACTCCATCCATGGAGCAACCTGCACTTACAATAACTTACTGTATCTAGGATAATGCATGAGCATTACCATGCTCACTGGACATTATTTATGTTTCAATTCCGTACAACCGACCGATATCACGAATATCGCATTAAAATGAAATAACGATACAAGCCTACCTAACTATCATAACAAAATTATCCATGCGACCTGTTAATTGGCGTTCAGAATGTTTAATCACAGACCCTGTATTCGTATACAGTATACCCTTTGGTTTAAGGTGGTTGATCGGAGATATTTTCGCCATTCCGTCTGTTCGAGAAGGAGTGTGGTCTGGTCATCATTAAAGTTGTCATGTTTATTCCAGTTATATACACGCAGAAGACATCTAAACAGTAGTCCTATATATGCGTGCATAAATGGTCTAAACACAAAAGAATATATTAACTTGCACTGAACCAAATATGAAGTACAGTAGCATAGGTCTAGATAAAAACAAAATAGCATTCAGGTGTTTAAGCATGTTACAATAATGTTAACGTTATTGAGACAACTGTTGGCTCACGGTATATCAAAATATGCCTATACTTATATTCATTGATGAAATAGTATAAATTGGAAAAAGTATTTCACGAAAAAGCATAGACCTAGGCACGTATCCAGGGGTGCGTACATCGCGATGGGATACGTACGCAGCCACCTTACGCAGGCCCGTAGCCAGACTTCCAAGGGGGTGGGTCTTTTTTTTAGCCAAAGGTGACCTTTTTATACGGGTGCCTCCGCGACCCAATGTGTACCGTAGGCACATGCTCTATGGCATGTGCTGCTGGGTGGGGCATCCTCACCCAGAAAATTTTTTAATCTAGAGGCTGTGAATGATGGTGTTTTTAGCATATAAAAGTTAAGGCTGACACCCTTGCATATACTGAATATAATTATCATGATTCAAAGGTGTATACACACAGGACGAGGTGATATTTTATCTTAAAAAGATAGGCAAGAACATTCGACTGAACTAAAAGTTAATATCAGTGTCACTGCATGAGTCAACAAGGGTACGAGATGAATAAAAGGAATAATTAGGTGATGTCTTTGGCATTAAATCTACTCATTGAGTACCGGTATGCTCGTCAGCTCGTTTTCCCTGAGATAGATCCACAGGCCACAGACTATAGGTCTAGCAGCTCTATGAGAACAATATTTGGCCTGGAAAAGGGTGACCTCAGCCGAGTGGGGGGGGGGGTCGTCCGACCCCTTCGAGTCCCCTCTGGCTACGGGCCTGTTACGTAAGTTTTGATCCTATTGCGTTGCCTCCTTTACTCCCATTTGGCCCATTTCACACACCAGTGCATCCAACTCCCATTGCAATCCTGGATACAACCCTAGACCGATAGACCTACCTAGGTTAAAAAACTGGGGCATTTTCCCTCCAGAAAATGTTCTTGTCCCTCTCCTCAGTTCTCCCACCCACAAAAAAAGAAGGGAAAAAAACACAATTCGCCGGGGAGAACAAAAAAAATGATATGTATTTTCTACATATTAGTAGACTATCTATAAAAGCGATTAAATAAGCCTCTTAAACCCCTAAATTGATCACTTTCGAAACATTTTAATTGAAGCCCGACCACGACATTCTCCCACGTCTACAAAAAAATTGTACCCTGTCTCTCATTCCCCACCCCACCCCACCCCATATTTCAGACGCTGGCGCCGCCACTGGAAACTGGTAAAGCAGAGCTGCTGGTACTGTATTTGTTTATTGGCAGCAACGTCAATATAGGCCTTTGTTCAATCATGGTTCAAATGTGATATGTACTGTATTGATGTGTAACTATTATTATGCTAATCCTTGTATGATGTCTACGTCATGACAAACTAATATATTTTAATTTAAAAAATAGGCCTACATTTTTACAATTCAAATCCAATCAAATCATCCTAAACATGATTCAAATAAAATATATTGAATATGTCTATTTGTTTAAACATAACATTCAAATCGGATGCAAAAAAATATTTTAAATTCATATAATTTATAGATATCGGTATATATTTTTAAAAAGACGTTAATAAAAATATGAGAAAGGTGGACTGGTGTGGTCGGTGCCCGACGGCCTTGTATACTGTATATACCGAAAATTATGTTCAATAGGATTTTGACGTGGTCAGGTATTCGGTACTTATTCATCCTGAATTGGATATTGTCAATTATACATTGTTGTGTTCTCATCGACAAATGTACGTTACTATTATTATTCTAATTTTGCATTAATGGCGTCCTATATCATAATACACTAAAATGCCGACCTTATGTACATTTAAGACAGTAAATTATTCCGATCTAGACGATCAAGTCACCCTTAAATGATATTATAAATACAATATTTTATATTAATATGTATACTTCGATATTATGCTGGAATCGGGTGTACCATGTGTTATTCAACAGTAGTAATGTACCGCGTTATGGGCGGTTTTGCATAACAAAGTGATTTTACGTAACAAAGGAGGTATTAAATTAAATAAAGGGGAGATATGAAACAATGATTTTAAATGAGGATTTTAATTGAAATAATTTAAATAATAATTGTAAATTAACAAAGAAAAAATATATATTTGAGTTGTTTACGTCTTCATGGAGTGCCAGGTGTGTTGGATTATCGTTAAAATTGAAAACAATGTGGCTGTCATTAAAAGGTGCTAAAAGGTTTGGGATTTTAATAATTTAAATAATAATAATAAATAAAGAAGAAGAAGAAAAAAGATTATATATTTTAGTTGGTAATGTTTACATCATGATGCAGTGCCAGGTGTGTTGGATTAATGGGGTAGTAATTAAAGGTGCTAATGGTAGGGGTCTGTCTCTTATACACATCTAGATGTGTATAAGAGACAGTAACCGGACAGACGCCTCAAGTCAGAGAGCATAGGGTCTCTACTAGGAAAACCAACACTCAACCCGAGCACAAAGCCAAATGCCCTATACACAACTCAAACTCGCACACATTAAAGGAGTGTAAGAAATTTAAGACAGGATCTGCTCAGGAGAAATATCAGCAGTTAAAAGAGTTTAATCTATGCTTCAGGTGCCTAGATCCATCGCATCGCAGAAGAGCTTGCAAGGTGCTAATAAAATGCGAGGAATGCAGCAGTACAGATCAAGTGACCTCAATGCACTCACACCAAGGCGGGGAGCAGGCAGCTGAGGAAAATACCACTCGCCAGCATAACATTACCACTGCCTGCGCACAAGTATGTGGAGACGATACAGCAATGGCGGGCAAATCATGTGCAAAGATTGTTCCTGTGGTTGTCAGTCACAAACGTGATAAAACAGTGACTGTCCGAACATATGCGATAATTGATGACCAAAGTAATAAGTCACGAGTTTCGGAGAAGCTTCTTGACCTATTTGACGTCCAATATCAAGAAACAAATTATTCGCTCACATCCTGTAATGGAGTAATGCAGGCAAATGGCAGATATGCTAGTGGATTCGTTGTTAGTAATCTGGATGGCACAGACCAAT